GATTTGTTCATTCATTCATTTTCTTTTATTTTTCTAATTTTTTTTACAGCAAAACAACCATAATAAACAGAGCAGGCTGAAATAGAAAATGCATTTTCAATCCTTCATTACATTTCTATTCCACCTTCTGGGTGATTTACAAAGGCTGAAAACCATAACATATATTATAAAACCATATGCATACAAACATTTAAACGTATAACACCAGAGGCTGGGACCTGCTGTACTGACTAAAACTCTTCTGGGTATTACGCACAGAGAGACCCTTTCCTGCCCTCTGATCTATATACTCAGAAATACCCAAGGCAGAACTCAAGACCTTCTCAGGTCAAACGCCACTGAGGGTCAGCATCGTGTTTTCCACAGTGGCCAGCTGATGGGCCCAAGTGGCGCTAGGTACCAGGGCTGAGGCCCACAGGAAAATTCAAGTTTAAGTGCACTAATTTACATCTGCCCTACAGTCCCTCTCTCTGTGTGTATCTTTCAAGGTCCCTTTCTCTGAAGGCAGCCCCTTTTTTTGCCAAAAGGGACTTGGGGCAGGAGAAGAGGGCATGGGTTTTCAGAAAAATACCTCAGGCTGAGCTGTTCAGGTGCTGAGAGGCAGCAGGAGCACATGCGGCCAAAATGCCAATTAATCTGGGAAGATCAGATGCCAGGCAGAGCAGCAAGACCACACCTCTTCATTTAAGACCTCGGCCCTAGACCACCTCTGCCTGTGGGAACCTCGTTGCTACTCCCCAGAAACTGAGATTCACCCTAGTTCTGATTCTGGAATCTATGCATTCACTCACTCAGTTTCTATCCTGTCCAATAGCCAAAGCTCTCTGAGAGGCTCACAAAGATTTAAAAAAGCATTAAACTAGATTACAGTATAAGAACCTATTTACACACGAACATGTAAACTGATGACACGTACACACACCAAAAACAATCTGGAAGAAAAATCCAGGACCTGATTAAAAGCTCATGCTGCCAAATGCCCGAGAAGAAGATGGCCTTATCCTGGTGCTGAAAAAGATAACAATGCAGGCACTAGGTGGTCTGTGTCAGGGAGACTGTTCCGCAACTTGGGGCCACCACTGAGAAAGCCCTTCCCCTTGGTGAGGCCATGTGGAAGAGAGCCTCAGGTGATGAACGCAGTGCTTGCAACCATCTTGGCTAGTAGCCACTGGCAGGCTTGGCCGTCTGCATATTTCTACCAGTAGGGCAGGCCACTATGTGTCAGAAGTATCTTATTCGAAATTCAAATCACAAGCCACCGGCATTCCCTCCCTCTCTCCTCTGGCTGACTTACTTTGCTATTGCAGGTTTTAAAAAATGGGTCAAGCCCATGATCTCTTGCTAGGATTAACATGAGCCATGCCTTACTTTTTCTTGATCTGGAGAAGAACTTGATCCCCCCGGGGGAGGTAGATGGGTTAGAGCCTGGAGAGGAAGAGTCTTTGGAGGAGGACCTGAAGATGCCACTGAAGCTCATGCGGCGAGGGGAGCGAGGCGGCGACTCCTGATACGGGAAAGGGAACACTGTTTTGGGTGAACCCGGACTGTGTTTTGACTTGACAGGGGCAGAGGCTGGGCTGGAAGGCCGGTTCTGAAGACCCTTTGAGAAAAGTCCTTTGGATGGACTGCCAGCGCAGTAGCTTTCTTCTGCCTGCAAAGAACAGAGAAAGGAGCAATTAACTCGATGCTTTTTCACTCAGAGTCTACCTTTGCAGAGCCATTAATCTGACACGCATCCGCCTGCACGGAATGTGACATGCTGAAATACTGCCTAGCCAAGAATGGAAAGCAGAATGGAAAGAATTCAAACCAAATCCCTCTTGCTTCTGACGGGAAGTCCCTCCAGGGCAGATTGGACTTTCCACCAACACTGGGAGCTACCTGATAAAAGTCAGACTAATTTGTTAATCTCACACAGCTTTGTCTGCTCTTGAGTGGCAGGGGCTGTTCTGGGTCTCCCACAACACCTGCTCTGATTTTTTGAACTGGAGATGGAATGTGTATCCTTCTGCCTGAAAAGCATCAGTCCCAACGCTTCCCTCTGCAAACAATCCCGAAAGAGCAGTTTCTGGAAGCCCACCAGGGCCTCAGGTTCCCTATGAGTCATGATCAGGCAACAGTGTTTATGCAGAAGCTGGCATCAATACGATAACAAAGAATTTGCATATCTCAGGTGAGCAAACTTTTCCTATAAAGGCTTCCTATGCAAACCTCCCAACATAAAAAGTGAAGCTATGACTGACCCAGTTCTGGAATCATGAATGTTGGGTGAGGAGGGAGAGGACCTTCTTCATGGAGCAGAAGGCTGCTGATGGCTGGTAGTCCCAGCGGCTATATGCTGCCCCCAGCGGCGGAGGCAGTATGCTTATGTGCACCGGTTATTGGGGAACCTGGACAAGAAGAAGCTGTTGCACAGCTTTTCTGCTCGTGAGATCCTGCAGGCAGCGGGTTGGCCATTGTGCAAGCAGGATGCTGGGTGGGACAGACCCTGGACAGACTCTGCCCACCATGCAGCTGGTAACGTCGCCTGTGCTTATTGCTTTCAAGCATCGTGCATATAATCAGCCGCAAGCGCAGGCCTCAAATTCAGGCAAAGAGCACTAAAATTCAGGAGAGATGGATATTAATGCACTGGCACCGTAGCAACCCTTTCAAAAAGAGAAAGTTAGTTTTAACTGAAATATATTTCCTTTCAGTGAACTGAAAAACACTCCTGGTTTTTGATCTCCACCTTAACCTATCCTGGGGCGTGGCAGCGTGAAAGGAGGGAGAAGAAAAATTAAGATGATGGGCACACAACTATCTCAGCACAACTATTTCAACGGATTTAGGGCTGAACTTATTAAGTGAGGGCAGAGGAATGGAACTGGATACGTTTGCTGCAGTAATCATTCCAGTCAGAGCACCTCAGGCAAGATAATTTTGATTAATTATTTACCTTAATGACAAGGAGCACAGAAAATGTTAAGATTGCAAACAAGGATATGCACTCACTGTCCCACTGGCACTGGATTTTATCGATTTTGCCTTCCCATGCTTACTGGGCAATATTGAACCCTTAATTAAACAAACCCACCAAGTGCCTGCCGTGGCTTTAAGACGCGTGAGCCCCTCCCAGCTGTTCGAAGGTCGGGCGCAGGATTCCAGGGCTGCGGTCTGTCTCTATGCACTGCTCCGGGCACATCCTTTCACTGCCAAGGGAGCAAAGTGTTCTCCAGTGCAGGAACAAAAGCCGCACGGACTTGCGCCCGCCAGCTCACGGAAGCATTTCACGGCCCGCGCCATTCAGCTGGTTGAGCACCAGGGGGCGAAATAAGGACACTGCAAAAGCAGGACTCGGTCGAGGAAATTCTAGCCGTGGGCTGGCAGAGCGGGAACTCCACCTGCCCGCACTGCTCTGCGAAGCAGCTGAACGGTGCGGGCCCAGAGGGTGAGCCTTCCCAAGAACGGTGCGCACACGGATGCAATGGAAGAGGCACATCCCTGCCCCAAAGAGCCTACAATCTAAAGTTTGCCATCAGACTACTTATTCCATGCCTACAAATCTCATTTAAACTGTAATACTTGCAGGCAAAAATCTATTTCTGTTGATTAAGCAATTGTTGTTCTGGTTTTTTTCCTCTATGTTTAATTGTATGTTTTCTTATTGCTTGCAAATCCTATATCTGGGGGGAAAACATTCTGCTTAATAAATTTCATGTTAAAAAGAGAAAAGGCAAAACACAATGGATCAGGGACAAGAGTATTGCGACAAGCAGCACCAAATCAAAACTGTGCGTGTTGGACGTTGAAGCCTTCTTCATGAAAAACCGACAGTTAAGGGTTTTTTTTTTAAAGTTTAGTTTACATTTCTGGAAGAAGTAAACATCTTGGCTTAAGTGAAATTGTAGGACAGCAGGTCCTGCATGAACTAAATTAAAAGTGTAGTGCTCATTTGGGTGGCTTAATTGCTAATGTAATGTGAAGAACTGTTCATTTCCAAGCACTTAAGGACTCAGCCCAGTGCATCGTATTAGAACTAGCACTGACACCCAATGGGCTGGAGGCAAACTAAGTAAGAGGTGCATTAATTCTACTGAAAGGAACGGGTCTTGGCTTAGCCACAATTAATTTGCCCCTCTGATTGCGGGGGGGGGGGGGGTTAAGTGTGCACAGTAAGCATCAGAGGCCCTTATGCACAGCATTACTCCAATATTGCTGTTGTCGTGTCTTTAGCTTTCACCAAGAGTCCAGAGTGGTATATCCCCAGTCCCAAAAGTTAGAACTGTTTTGAGATGCTTCTAGTATATATATGCTACAAATTATGCTGGGTTTAACTTTAACTGTGTGGGTTCCTCTGCCTAGGAAAAATAAGCCTAGGAATTGTCGTTGGGTGAGGTTTTCTAAATATTTCCTAGATCCCAGTACAGAATTAACAGTCCACAGGGAAGTTGGAATGAATATTAAGCTGCAAACCTGGTAAGTAAATATATCCCTAAAGGAAGATGTATTTATTTATTTATTAAAACATTTTTATGCCCCCCCATTTGCCGAAGCCTCGGGGCGGCTTACGACATGTTTTGTGCTGGTGCTGAAACTCCCACAGCTCCCCAGATTTCAGACTGCTTTGCCACCAATCCGCACCTGTCCGCACCTGCATCTTCCTTTATCAGGGCAGCTTTCAATAACAGTGCTGCACAAGCACAGAAGAATCACTGCATGATATCATTCTTTTCATTCGGAGATCAAAAGGAAGAGCCAGAAAGGATTTCTTTCATTTGAGGCAAAAGGTTTAGTGTGGTGGGCTAAGGAAGGGGGGAAATGATTAATATTTCCACAAGCCATAAGAACCACGACTGCACTTGTGAGATTATAGAAATGGCACGCTATCAGCCACCGTGCCAAAGTACAATATCAGTGATCATGCCATTTGGGGTGAATTTTCTCCCTGCAATATTCTTCAGCACAGACTGATGTATGATAGTGTCCCCAGATAACCTGCGGTTCAGGACACCAAGTGAGATAGCTGTAAAATTAAATGGACTATTTATACCCAGTCCCTCGGATATGAGGGTCCAAGTTAACCACCAGCCCTACTTACAAACAAGCAATCCTGAAACCCCTGCCTTGTCCTTGAGCAGCAGGTGGGTGCCCGCAGGTGCTGGGCAGCAAGGAGAGAGAGGGAGGAGGAAGGGAGGGAGGGGAGGACGGAAAGGGAGGGAGGAGGGAAAAAGAGGCAAAGCCGGAACTGATTCTGTGGGAGAGCATGAAGAACTAGCATATCCAAGCCTGTGCGTTTTGGATTACATGGAGTTAGTGTTGCCGATCACTTTGCACTATGCAGTATATGGCTGATAGCTGTGCCTCCAAAGCGTAAATCTGATGGTCAGGAACTTGGCAGGCAGCGTCAGGGCTTCTCCTGCTGGCCAAGCATCATAACAACAGCCCTGCTAGTTGCAGGATTTGTCCCACACTCCACTGCGGCTGCCAGGGCCCTCATAAGCACCACTTGAGAGACCTGGGGGCAGGGGAAAGCTATTCAAGAGCTGGCTCTTCCCCCCAGAAGCTGTCTCAGCAACACACGTCTCCAGTGTACTGCACCTCTTGCTGGGAGTGGATCCTGCTCCTGGATCCTATTCCTGCTCCAAGGTACTCGCTCCTTCATGATCTCCCTGGCTCTTGACTTCTGGCTTGTGTTTGACTACCCCCTTGTTTCCTGGACTCTGGTTCAATGGACTCCTGGTTTGGCTTTGGCCTGCTTGATTCTGCAATTTGGCCTGCAATGTGAAAGGGGTAAATTCTATTTTGGGCTGCATTAACCGAAGTATCATTTCCAAAACATGTGAAGAACTTGTTCTCCTATACTCAGCTCCAGTCAGACCTCACCTGGAGTTTTATGTCCAGTTCTGGGCACCACAGATTAAAAGAGACTCAGAAAAGGGGGAAAGGGTACCGGGCAGAGCAGCAAGGATGGCTCAGGGACTGGTGGCAAAGTCCTGTGAGGAAAGGCTGAGGAAACTGGGCATGTTCAGCCTCAGGAAGAGAAGACTGAGGGAGATACGATAGCACTCTGCAAGTACCTGAAAGGCTGTTGCAGAGAGGAAGGACGAGAGCTCGAGCTCTTCCCATTCATTCCAGAGTGCAGGACATGGAATAACAGACTTGAGTGAAAAGAAACCAGATTTAGACCAGACACCAGGAAGAATCGTCAGAGCAGTACCGCAATGGAACCAATTACATGGGGAAGTTGTGGGCTCTCCCTTGCTGGAGGCATTCAAAAAGTCACCTGAAGGAGGTGGTGTAACTCAGTGTCCTGCAAGAGCAGAGGACTGGCCCCTCTGGCCCCTTCCAGCTCTGCTGTTCTATGATTCTGTGATTTGGACTGGTAATTGGATTCTGGCTTTGACAAGCTTGCCTTGTTTCTTGGATCCTGGAGCATTATATGTTACCTAGACACCCACCCCCCGGACCCTTACACGGATGCAAGTGCAGGTGATGCATTGCAGGAAGGAAAAAGGAAACCCTCGCCCTCACATAAGCCAATCTCACTGGGTCTACATGACACAATAAACCAAAGAACCAGTTGCGGTGGCTGGACTACTCAAAAGCACACTCCATAATCCCCTTTTCAAGTGGTCCAAATTGCTGGTCAGCACTGCTTCCTTCCATCGA